CATTAAACTGTGATTAGAGCTTGTCTGAGGCCTAGTATCTTTCCATGCAAACTGGCCCTGTATGCGGAAATACAACTCTATGTGTCTCTGGTCACAGCTGAGGCCTCAGCGGTCTTGTGATGCTGTGATGCCCCAGGGGAAGATTACATCAGCTGAAGACCTGCTGGTTCCTTGAGAACTGAATAGTAATAAAAAAAAAGGTTTCATCTGGGGGAAAGGACAAACTTCTTATTAACCTGCCATCTCTTCCCACCATCCTCATCAGATGAGATCCTCCTTAGCTTAAAACCATTGCTGCCTTCTGAGTCATCTCATAACCTCCTCACCTTTTTCCTCAATGTAAACGTGATCAGTAAATACAGAGGTACTGGCTGCTCTGGCCCTTCTGTTTCTCATGAACAACTGGCCATCGCAGATCCCCGTTGCACTGCTATTGTCTCCTGCTCTTTCTTTTCGCTCTGCTCTTTAACACTTTGCAGGAAACTGGGGATTCACTGCAGGGGTCCCTGATATTGGAGGAAAAGGGAAAAAAGAATTGAGATGTGTTATGTACATGTACCAAATCCCCACAATGTATGTAATCATTATGTATTCCAAACATGTACTAATAAAAATTTAAAAATTTAAAAATTTCTTTTTTTTTTTTTTTTTTGGTTTTGGTTTTTCTCCAGTACCAGCGATTGAACTCATGACTTTGCACTTGCCAGGCAGGCACTGGGCCGCTGAGCTAAATCCCCAGCCCCCTAAAATTTCACTTTTTAAGGCTGAATAATATTCCACTGAATGGACACAGCCTGTTTTATCTACTCAGTTGTGGATGTACCCTGGCTGCTTCTCTCTTTGGGCTGTTGTAAGCAATGCTCCTATGAACATGTGTATGCACACAGCTGCTTGAGACCCTGCTTTTACTTCTTTGGGAGTATATTCATTAGTGGGATTGCTGAATCATATGATAATTCTGTTTAATTTTTTTTGGTATTTGGAATTAAATTCACAGCCTTTGCACTGAGCTACATCCACAGCCCTTTTTGATTTTTTTTTTAATTTTTGAGTAAGTTCTCATTAAGTCACTAAGTTTCTCAGGCTAGGCTCAAACTTGGAATCCTCCTGCTTCAGCCTCCCAGAGAGCTGGGATTACAGGTGTGTTCTGTGATACTTGGCTTGATTCTGTTTATTTTTATTTTTGAGAAACCACCAATCTCTTTCCATAGTGGCTGTACCATTTTATATTCCTACCAGCAATGCACAAATGTTCTAGTTTCTTCATATCCTTGCCAACTCATGTTATTTTCTGGCTGTGTTGCCCATTTAAAAATCGGCTTTCTTTGTTGTTGATTTGTAGGATATTTTATATATTGTGGATGTGCCTCCTTTATCAGGTATGTGATTTGTGAATATCTTCTCCCATTTTGTTAGCTGTTTTTCACTCTGTTGAATCCTGTGATGCACAAAAATTTAGGATTCTAATGGAGTCCTGTTTATGCATTTCTTAATTTTACTTAGCATCACACCAAGACAAAAAGGAAAGAAGCACAGGAGGGAGGGCGGGTGGAAGAAAAGAAATTTAGAGGGAAGGAAGCTGGTTTCATAGGAGGAATTTTATTTTATTTTATTTTATTTTATTTATTTATTTATTTTTTGGTTTTTCTCCGGTACCGGGAACCAAACTCACGACCTTGCGCTTGCCAGGCAGGCGCTTTGCCACTGAGCTAAATCCCCAGCCCCTGGAATTTTATTTTTTTTAAAATTTATTTTAATGGGGTTGAATACAGGAGAGCGCTACCATTACATCCCCCATCCTTTTGTCTCTTGAGACTGAGTCTCCGTAAATTCCCCAGGCTAGGCTTAAACTTGTGATCCTCCTGCCTCAGCCTCCCAGAGTGCTGGGTTTACAGGCATGTGCCACCATACCTGACTATAAATTTATCTCTAAATTGTGAAGATGATGGTGGTCAGAGTTCTTTTGCTCCCCCCATATCATCTTGATGCCTCTCATTTATTTTTTCCTCTTCTCTCCGTTTTCTATTTGCTTTGGCCTCTCTCGGGGCCGACTGCTTTACTCAGGTAGCTGTAAAAGCTCAGTTTTCCTTGTGAATCTTTAGTTTTTTCAAGGGAGCCTCATTCTGGACTGGAAGGGGTGCGTGGTAGATAAAGTAGTGTCCCCAAAGTTCCCATGGCCTAAACCCAGGCCGTGATGATCCCAGATCTAGTCCTCATCCTGGACCTGGGGTGCGTTGGTTTGATAGCAAATGGGTCCCTACAGATGCGGGGAAGATTAAGGCCTTTGGGATGGGGAAGTTAGCTTTGCTCATCCCAGGGGACCCCTCTGATCCTGAGTCCTCATAAACAGGTAGATGGCAAGTGTGAGCAGGACCGGGCTGCGAGATGAGGGAGGAGCCACGGCCAAGTACGCCTTCTGCAGCAGGCTCCTGCCTGATTCTAGCCCATGGAGACCCGTATCAGGCATCGGACGGACAGAATTGCAAGGCAAGTGTTGTGATCACTTCACCCAGGGCTGGGCTTGGCACTGCCTGTATGCAACTCCCTAGGCGGCCAGTAGAGGACGACAGCCACCAACAGAAAGGAACAGGAAATCATTTCTTGGTGAGACATGTGATGGTTACAACTGCAAGAGGAGGGGCCCTCAGAGAGAAGGCGAAGGACACGTGCTTCTGAGGAGCCATGGAATTGTTTCAGGGCCCCGGCAACAGATACCTGCACTTTCGGTGGAAACTGATTGTGCCTTATGGTAGGGCAGTTTTCTGTATGTTACACGTTAATAAAATAAAGAAGGGAGAAAGGACAAGAGAAGGGGGGATGAAGTAGGGAAGGGAAGAAGGGGGTGCGACAACAGAAGATAAATGATTTGACAGAGCTGAGGACGGCCCAGGCCAGCCTTTATTCTGCGGCTGTGTCCCTGTGGGCCCCTGAGACCTGGCTAAGGCACCGACGCCAGTCCCAAGGCAGGGCTTCCAGGAGCAAGCTGTGTCTGTGCCACCTGCTCTTCTGTCAAAGGCCGTGTGGGCGAGCAGTGTGTGGGTGCCCTGCTGAGGGCACATCTGTGGCCAGAGGCGTCGTGGTTTGCCTTCCACTCTCACACTGGCTAACTGCGTCCTGAGATCAACCCAGCTCAAAGGCAGAAAAGCCAGTTGTCAGTTTATTTGCCATCCATCTAGCCTCTACTCAAATCAGATATCCACCTATCCATCCATCAGTCACTCGCCCATCCATCTACTTATCTATCCATCCCCAACCCATCCATCCATCCATCCATCCATCCATCCATCCACCTATCCATCCACTTATTTATCCACTCACCAATTTCACCCACCCATCTCTCCTCCCACTCACCCATCCCATTCACCATCCACTCCTCACTCACTTATTCCCTCAGCACTTTCTGGTGCCTCCTCTGTGCCTGGCATTGTGCCGGGTGCTCCTTCCTGGCTTGTTTCTGGCCAGTGTCAGCTCTTTTTTTCTTTACTATTGCTCTTACAAAACATAGTGATGTAAGTGAGTTCCCTGATGTGTGGTCAATCCCCTCCTGTGGTGTGGAGTCATGTTAGGAGGCATATGAGTGGCTCCTGGAGACTGTAGAATGTGTGTGGGGGAGATAGGAGTGTGGTGCCTGGGACGGAGTTCTTAGTCCAGCTTTAGGAGGGGACAGCCTGGCCCAGGCACATGCTTTGGCCAATCTGGTCCAGGGATTCTCACAGCTGGTCCTAGACTGGGGACAGGGACCTAGGCCTGAGGCTCATCTAGCAAGGCCAGTGATTCCGGAGCCACAGTGAGGACGGAAAGCAGGCGCAGCTGGGAGGTGGGGAGAGACCGCGTGGCACGTGCGCCAGCTAGACCACAGCCCCTGTTCTCCTGCCGGATGCAACAATGTGACATGATGCAAAATGGGGCTGGACATCAGATGGGTGACATGTCAGGAGAACATGCAGGGCTGGATTTTAAATGTAGATTTCCCTGTGGCTTGAGTGCCTGCACACCTTGGGACCCCACCTCACCCTGCTCCCAGGAACCTGCAGTAGAAAACTTCCTGTGCTAGACTCCTAGGGATCTGGATCCATGGGATGGTTGTGTAGCCAGCTTGCTGGGTGTCCACAGCAGAGCCCCGGCCCTCTCTGAGCCTCCTTGTGCCCAGGTGGTGGTTTCAAAAAGGTGTCTCTACTTGCCCATGTGGACAGACTGGCAGCCAAAGGCCACTCCCCAAAAGGTTTTTGGGACATTTCAGTTCTAGGAACCCAAAATTCTAATCTGTTCAGTTGTGGGCCCAAGGGTTGGACTGAGGAGTCACGGAAGAGCTCACTAAGAAAATGTGACTGCAATCCCTTGTCCTAACACATAGACAGGGTCACATAACACCCATTTACATGCACAAAGATGTACTCACACATGTGTACACACAGGCAAATATATACGAACCCACTTGTATGATGCACACACCATGCAAACACATGAACAGACGTGCAGAAGCACATGCACACAGCTGCATAAGCATACCACAAGCATATAAACAAACGCAAACACACATGCAAGTATGTGGGATACATAAACACACGAAAACATACAAACACATCCATATAAGCAAATGCAAACATGTATGCACACACAGTGCACGAGAAGCACCTGCATGAACAGAGCCTTTGTGTCCCAGCCGTTTATGCGCCCATCACATTGTGCTGACCTCGGAATTGCAAGGCTTCTTTTTAACAGTATTGGCTTGTACATATGTTTACATGCACGAACATGCATGCACATACATGTGCACACAGACACAAGCACACACACAAACATATATCACACACACTCACAGAGTGTGGGACTCCCAGGATCATCTAGAACAGCTCATATGTCTTGCACCAAAGGCACTGGAAAAGTTGGAGTAAGTCATTCCCAAATTTGCAGCAACAACCCAGCTTACCAGGGTCTTTGGGGACAGCCTCTCAGCCTCTTGAATTCCCTGGGCAAAAGTCAAGAAAGCTGCAGTGAACTGAGAACATTGTGTATTCAAATTTATTTAAATGAATGTTCAGCCACAGTCCTCTGTGAATTTGTGTACATTCAGTTTTTTAAAAAATGGTTTCCATAAAAGGATTTTTGGTAATCACCTAGTTTTTAATACAATATTTATATGCAAAAACCTCATCTGAAACTACTTACTGTACAAGAGAAAATAGAAGCATCAGATTGCATGATTTTAGCAAATAATGGAAATCTATGACACCCATAGGCTTCGGTCATAGTCGGCCGATTACAGGAATGTCAACATCACACCCATGACAAGTTCAAGGCAAATACACTGAAGTTTTTTCTCCTTGGCTTCGGGTGAAGCATCTTTTTATGTTTCTCTTGGTGCTTGAGAAATTTCTGTTAATTGGTTAGTATAACTGCTGCAATTTAGATCGCTTGTATTATTTATGAGACTTGTTCTTACAAGCTTGTAAAATGATAATTGTCCAACAGTGACATTCCTATAAGTAAAAATATAGAGAAGTGTTACCAAAATAGAAGACTTTATTAATAAAAATCTTTGGTAGTAACAGTATTTTAAATTCCTCTCAATGATATTTGGTTAACTAATAAGCTCCTTCCACCTCAACCTACAAGAAAAAAAAATCCTCAAATCCACCCTATTATTGAGTTAAAAAAAAAACCAATAAATATTCTAAGGCTTTGAATAAACCGTGGAAGCCTCAGGACTTGGTGAAACCCTTAAACCTTTCTTAGAAATGCCTCCCAGGTAAGCACCCTTGTTTCCTGTCACCCTGGTTTTATTCCCCAGGACCTTGGATGATCAATTCCAAGGTCAGTGCAGTGTGATGGGTGCAGGAGTGGCTGGGACACGAGGGTACTGGTCACTGCTAATTAGGGACGATTGCACCCCTTAGTTCTCCCAGACTAAACCAGGAACTCCCCTGCCCTCCATGTGGACAGGGCTGGGCACCTCTCTTCCGACCAGAAGGGTTTGTGTTCTGAACTTTCAGAAGGAAAAGATGTTTAAAAGTCTTCTAACATATCTGACCTAGAGGCAGGTGATGCCTTTCAGAACCAGAACAGACACTGCGTATTCCTTCTTAGTTTCTCAGTTCTCCCTGAAACACCGCACCAGCTGTTGCCCAGTGCCTCTGAACACCATTTTGCATCTACCCGGAGGCGTCAGTTACACGACAGAGGATGATTTCTAGGGCTACTGCCCTCTCCTCATCGCACAGGAGGCCCAAGTCTTCCACTTACTGTGCTGCAAAGCCCCAGTCCTCGCCACGCGTATCACCCCATCACCACCCATCGTTTTGATTCATCTTGAACACTAAAGATAAAAAAATTCCCTGCATAATGGTCTTGTGCAAAAACAAGGAAAAATACAGAAAGAAGACAGAAAAACATTGTCCTATCAGAAAGTGGTCCTCCACGTTTGTAGAAAACACAGGAGCCACCAGGCCCTGGTGGGGGTGAGTGCGCCTGCCCACAAGAGGGCGCTGTCGGTGGGGGAAGCCCGCTGGCCTGCCCATCATGCCGCACAGCTACAGTGCGCCCCCGTGGTATGCTTGGCTAGCGGCCGGGCCGCTGCCACAGCTGTCGGAGCGGGCTTTGGGGTTGTGGTTGTTGCACGGCTCCTCTCGTGAGCGGTCCTTCTCCATCCACGTGTCCAGCAGCTGCTGCTTGCCCTGCTCCTCCCTCATGAACAGCTCCACCATGAGCACCTTCTCCTTGTGGATCTGCTGGCTGATGTCCTTGGGGATGTCGGGGATGACCCAGTCCACAAAGTCACTCATGAACATGACCAGGTTCTGCAAGGAGAGTCAGGGTGCGAGGTGGGAGGGGTGCACCTGGGAAGGGCTCCGGATCTCCCGCCCCTGTCACCTGAAGAGTGTGCACCTGTCTCATCTGTGGATCTGCCCCCACCTGTGCACCTGCCCCACCTAGCAGAGCCCACCATCCATCACCCCCAGCCCTGTACACACTCTCTGACCTCTCTGGGCCTTGGATTTCCAGAAGATATAAACAAGCCAGCAGGGATATGTGCTGACTTTCTTAAATGAATTTAAATTTAGTAAATAGGAGGGCATTTGTCTGAGTAATTCTGAGTTCCTGCCCTGGGAGGCTTGAGAAACAATGCCATGGGTCACGCGCCATCGGTCATGTGCTGTCACATACACAGAGGATTGAGGGTTTCAGGAAAGTAGTTAACAGAGTAACAGCACCTAATTGGATGGAGCGTCCGTGGTGCCTACTGACCGGGTGGGCCCGCCTACAACCTGCACAGCCCATGGGGGCACGCTGGACATTTACTGCCTTGGTGGAGGTGTTTCTTGGGGGTAGAATGCAAGATAAAGTGGTCCTTATGCAAAACCCCACATCATACTGTTGGCTAAACTTCTGTCCAGGGAGCATTTGTTAGAACCTCTGCCAGGTGATATCTGCTGGGGATGATGCGGGTGCCCCTTGCAGTCACCCCCTCTTCTGTTTGGTGCTCCCAGCTCCCCACATGAATGCCGTGGGGTGCTGAACCCACAGCTAGGGAGCTCACATCCTCACTGTCTCCCACCCTGCCTCAACAGGCAGTGACTGACCAACCTAGGCAGACAAAGGCACTGCCTTGCAAGGCTGGATGACTCCCGGTCCACTGCTTCCCCGGGGTTCAGCAGGAGCAGTCTCCAGCCAGACCCCTCCTTGCTGAGCCCCTTCTTGCCCGTTCTTCCCCTCCCCAGGGGGCTTTGCTTCCTATCTTAAATGCGTAAGAGCACCCACTCCAGGTCTCCAGCTTGACGACTTTTGTCCTGACTGCTGCAGCAGGCTGACAGGTACACTGCTGTGTTCAAGAGTGAAGGACCTGCCAAGGCCGCCTGGGTGCAGGGGGCCCAGCTGGGGAGAAGCCCACACTGGGGCTCCTGGATTCCGAGCTCTTGGCCTCCCCTTCCTGGTGGGCTCCCTTGCAGCAGTGTCATGGCCCCAGGTGGCCTCTCTCGTGCTGTGGCCTCCGCTTGGTGCACCTGCCGCTGCCTGACCTGGGGTCTTGCTCACCGGAGGCTGCCAGTCTCAAGAAATAGGCCCCGACCTCCTCCTCAGAGATGGTCAGGTCCTCTGAATGCTGGCCTGGGACTGGAGTCATCTAGGGCCCATGCCTCCTGTCTGAAGCACCCAGAATTCTACCCAGAGAGCAGGGAGGCCAAGCCGGGGGCATGGCAGTGTCTCCCCCTCCTCCACGTCTCTTTCAGTACAGACCGTGCACACTGACTGCTCCCTCCCCGCATCAGCCCTCCCTTTCCTTTCCTCGTTCCCATGAAGCTCTCTTGGGCTTGTCACAGCTCAGGGCCTGGGCTGGCCAGGCGTCCTTTGGGCATCCTGACACTCGGCTCCCAGGTCTCTGCAGGGTCTCCCAGCCCTGGTGCCAGGGGCTCCTGACAATGAGCACAGAGTGCTTCCTACCCTTAACCCCCAATCCTTCGGGAAACAAAGAGGCCCACCGCGAAAACACACCTGGAAGACAATGACGAACGCCAGGCGAGCGGCCAAGACGGCCCAGAAGTCCTTGGAGATGTCGTATTTATGCTCGGACCACGGGGGCTCACGGTAATCTTTGTACCTGCAGAAGAGAGTGAGGTGTAAGGGCGACGCAGCTCAGGCGGATGCTGGGTGGCTGGAGAGACACAGAGAGCCTGGCCCAGCACTGTGGCCTGCTCTGGGTCGGTCCACGCAGGACAGTGGTCAGGGCCACGTGACCGCATGGGAAACCTAGACCTCAGGAGACGTCCCTGTAGGCCCAGCCGTGGGCTCCCCGGAGCAGCATCAGGCCCCTCTGGGCTCGGAGGTTCCAGAGGCTGTGCAGCCTTTTCCCAAGGGACTCTCAGCTGAAGCCGGAGAAGGTGAGGCTCCCTGGGTGGGTGGGGTTCTCTCAGCCTGAACCCCCCCACCTCAACCGGCCTTGACCTTCACCGAACTCTAGGCTTCTAGAAAAGTTTGAAAACTACCATCTTTTTGGGGACACTGTCCCAGTACTTGTCTGGGGTGGATGCACATGGGTGCCTGTGGGGCTCTGCCCAGCTCTGCCAGCTCTGTGCCTGCACCCCTCCTTTCTGCAGCCTGCACTTAAGGCAGTGGACCCCAATTCCAGGCACTCCCTCTGGAGTCTCACTGGACCCCCTTGGTCCAGGACTTGCACCCTTTCATTTCTGGCTGGCCCAGCCAGGCAGACTGTGAGAGGAGGCAGCTAGTTCTAGACTCACAATCTTAGCTCCCGGCCCACAGGGACAGCTACCCGCTGTGTCTCAGAGCAACTGCTCAGCCTCTCTGGGCCTTGGTCTGGGCATTCCTTCACATTGTAGGCATTTATTGAGGAGCTACTACATGCCAGCCTCCATTTCAAGGGAGCAGATTCAGTGGGGAACACAATAGCTAGGCTCTTCCATCCACAGAGTCTTGTTTCTGCTCAGCTCTGAACCCCCGACACTGAGATAGGATGGGGCTGGGGAAACACATGTTGGTGCAGGTGCTGAGCCAGGCAGAAGTTACACACCCTGCTCTCTGATGGGAACGGCAGCCCCCCCCCACACCTGTTCTTCCCTCTTTCCTTCTATGTTTTGGGCCAGCTACACTGGGATGCTGGGAGATGTGTTTGGGTTACCTGGCAAACTCCTGTGCATCCCTCAAAGTCCGCTGCTACCTGTGTTCAGACATCTTTCCCAGAGATGATGGTTTTCTTTCCCCGCTTTGCCTGGCTTTCCTTATCAGCCCATTGACTTCCCCAAGGGAGAATGTGATATCTTCTCTGAGGGTGGGTGGAGGCCTGGATGTGGCAATGCTGGTTTGAGTGCAGGAATAAACACTAACCAGCAGCGATCCTAGTTCTCAACTCTTTCATCACCGCTGGGGCCACTCCTTGGCTGGGCTTGGTTCTGTTCTTCCTGCCAGCGCCTCCTTGGGGAGGTGGCCCGATGAGGGTGTGGCCAGTGTGGGCAGAAGGCTCAGTACCTGGCACAAGAGTTTGGGGTCCAGAGAGTCCTGGCTGGAACCCGGGTCTGGGGAGCAGAGTGTGGGATCCACAGCCTCTGTCTACGTGGGGGTCAGAGCCACAAGACACTTAAACATGAGGTCTCAGCCCCGTGTCCTTGCCTTCTGCCTGTGTGACGTGGGTCCTTCCGCTGGCCGTGAGCCCATCTCTCACCTTATAAATGGTAATGTTCAAAGCCCTCGGGAATCTTTTAGAAAAATGAGACGTATAATTCTCTACCCTCTTTTTCTTAGTCATGCTTCTAAAATCCAGCTTCAGTTACACATGTAACGCTTGAGTGTGTTCTTGGCATGGGAAGTGTGAAACTGCTAAGGTGTTGTGTCATCTTCTGGGGACTGCTGTGGCACTTTGTGGCCAGCTCCTGGGGCCACGTGCCTGATGGGGAGGGAATCCCAGCCCCTTCCCCTGACACAGTCCCCTCTTGAAGGCCACCAGTGGAGAGATGGCGCAAGGCTTTCTGAGCCTTTCCTATGAATGATCCCACATATATGTATAGATGGGTCTCCAACTTCACCATGATTAAGATTTTTATGTCAGTGTGGTACCAGGGATTGAACCCAGGGTCTTCACACTGAGCGGCATCCCCAGCCCTTTAGTTTTGGTTTTGAGCCAGGGTCTTATTAACTAGCTAAATTGCCCACGCTAAGCTCAAATTTGAAATCCTCCCACCTCAGCCTCTCAGAGTGCTGGGATTATTATAGACATGCACCGCCGAGCCCAGCTCACTTTGGACTTTTTGACTTTCTGACAGTGTGAAGGCTGTACATATTCAGTAGCACCTGTGCCCGATTTCTGAATTTGATCTTCCCCCAGGCTTGCACTACCTAGTCTGAACCCCTCTTGATACAGGCTGGTGGCGGCAGTGTCAGCCCTGAGATCAGGGCATGTGGGACAGCGCATGGTGCTGCTGGGCCAGGATGTACAGGAGGCTGGGAGCATTCAGCGCATTTCCAGTTGAATATGTTCTCCACTTATGTGAGTTTATCTGTGGATTTATGGACCAATTCTAGCAGAAGCAGGGGAACCAGTGGGGGAATTCTAAGCCGGAAGTGGGGTTGGGTTGTGTCTTGTGTCACCACCTGACTTCGAGTGGGCAGACCTGGTTCCAACTCGCTCTGCATGGGGCCCAGCTAGGCGCTCTTCTGTGACACAGGGCACAAGCTTGGTGTTCCACTTTTCTTCTTCAGGCTGCAGCCTTAAGCCTCCTCTTGCTGCCCACAGTGCCCTGAGCCCTGGTGGCCTCTTCCTGCTCCCACAGGTCAAGGCTAAGAGCCGATAAGAGGACGGGGAAAGGTGGCAGCCGGACAGACCCCGGGAAGGAGGGTGGCGTCTGCCTGCCCCGATGCGCACACAGGGGCGCAGGCCTTTGGTGCTGTGGGTCTCTGCTGGGTTGGAGACTGTGCTGTCTGCGGGTGCTGCTACTCCCAGCCGCCCACAGACAGGCTCCATGGGTGGACAGCCCTCCTCTCCTGCCCTGGCCATGGGACACCACCTCTGCCTGCTCTGTCCTCTTGTCCATGCGCCGCCCTTCACGTCCTGCTCAGAAGCTAGATCAGCCCACCCCAAATCACTGTGACCCTCACCACTCTGGTGAGGCTGCCCACCCCTAACATTTCCCTGTTCCGCCTGTTGACCTGGTTTCTCGCTCCTGCTCTGGTAACTGATCTGTTTATGTGTCTGTTGCCCCCTGCATGGAGGTCCCCGGATGGGTGGGATCAGGCCACCCTCTCTGAGTCCCCAGCCCCTGCACCAGGCCCGTGGGGGATGGGCAGGGAATGGCCTGGCCCAGACTCTGCACGTTGGCTCCCAAGCAGCTCCCCGGAAGTCCCCAGCCTCTGGTCTGCAGAACAGCTGCAATGAGGATCCCCCAGTTCTCTGACCCACAACCCAGCCTAGTTGATGAGTGTCCCCCAACCCCTGGCAAGGGCGACCGGTTCTGCGTCCATGCGATGCAGGACAGACTGGTGAGACTCAGTCTGGGGCTTTTGCTGACCCAGGGGAAAGAGAAGGGCTGCCTCTGGGGGCTGCAGAGCAGAGAGGATGTAAGGTGAGGCTGTGGAAGGTCCCTTCTGCATGTCAGAAAACGATGCTGACGCTGAGGAAAGCTCAGTCAAGGGGCTGTGGCAGCAAAGCAGCCCGACAGCAAACTGTAGCTCCTGAATTTCTCCGTTGTACTAACACCATCTCCTACCCGCCTCCCATGAGGCATTTTTCAAAAGTAAGTCTGGGCTGTTTTGTGACTGGCCCCTTGAAAGAATCCTGGCTCAAATGCTGGTTTCCCAGAAACCCACCAAACAAGGTCCTTGGGGGAAAGAAGCGAGGTTGGTACCTGCAGATCTGCACCTCATAACCCAGATCCAAGGGGTCGTTGGGGGCCGTGCCGTTCTGGAAGTCACTGACGTTGAAGGAGGAGAGCGTGTGGTTGACGAAGCCGTGCATGGTGCCATTCTGGCTGTACATGTAGAGGTACACCAGGCGCGGGATGAAGTCGGACGTGAAGGAGATGACGAAGGCCTGCGGGGACAGTGGGTGGGCGCGGCCCGGACAGTGAGTGGAGGGTGGGGTGGGGGTCTGTTATCCCTCAGTCATCTGCAGGGCTGGCAACAGCAGGAGACCAGGGCAGGTAAAGGCAGTATCCTCTCACTGTGTGGTCCAGCCAGGTCACCTGACCTCTCTGTGCTACCCTTTCCCCAGTCACACTACCAGGGGACCTTGCCTTCCAGGCTCAATGGCAGAGACAGGCTGGTAGGGTGGGAAAACCATAGAGCATGCCCAGCTCACGCTATCACAATAGTCTGGAGGGAGGAGGTGAGCAGCAGGGGACAGGGCAGAGTCCCAGGGCTCAAGAACTCCTCTTGGGCTGAGTACTCCTGCATCTTGTGGGGAGCTCAGGACCTGCTGTGGGTGGCAGGTCATGAGGCAGTGGCAGTGGGGACAGCGTGTGGCTCCCCTGGGCTTTGAAGCACATGCAGGGATGGCTGGACAGAGCAGAACTATTGGGGGAGAACATCAAAAACATGGCAGAGATGGGGACCCTGAGAGAGGAGGCCACAGGGAATACTGCTCTGACCAAGGCGCCAAGGGCCGTGGCAGCACTACCCTGTGGCCTGGGACAGTGAGACCAGAGAGGGTGAGGCTCAGGACACTGGGAGGAGGTAGGGGGACACTGGTTCTTAGTGCGGCTGGGGGCAGGGGTGGTGCTAACAATTCCCCCCTTTTCCTTTCCCAAGCTCCTTTAATGCTCAGGCTTGCATTTCACATAAAGGTGAACACCCTCCCTCCGATAAAGGAGTAGAGAGACCAAAAGGTTGCAGTGAGGAATCGCGCTCTCTGGCTCTTTCTTCCTGTCTTTCCCTCTGTCTGTCTTCTTCTCCGTCCTTCTCAGGACTTGGGTGGGAGGGCTGGGGTGGGTAAGGGGTTTTGCTGAAGGCTTGCAGGAGGTCCTGGAGGAACTGGTGTCTCCTATCATGTTCCCCAAGATCAACAGACTTAGAAGCAGGCTGAGGCTGTGCTGGGACTGCAGGCGGGAGCAGAACCTGATTCCACCTTCAAGTGCCCCCTCCCCTGGTCATCCAGCCAGGATTTAGCCAGAACTTTTGTCCCTGTGGCCCAGCTCCCTGAGATGTCACTTACGTTGATAATGACAGCAAGCTTCCCAACGCCTCTGAGGATGTTGTACCAGATCCCTGGGGGAGAAAAGCAGGTTAAAGACCCTTCTTGGGCCAACGCTCAACCACCCGGTCACAGGGAGCACCCAGTGGCCCTGCCTTGCAGGTAGCAGGTCTGTTTTTCAGGGCAGTCAGAGGGACACGGTGGCAGTGGGACATCACCTGGTGAGTGCCAGTACCCACAGCTTTATAGCTGGTTAGCTGTCCATGAGCACACGAGGCTTCTGAGAGACGCACTTAGAAACAGCAAGTCCCTAAGGACTCTTAACACCTCCAGAAAACCTGCTTATTATGCCAATTGGCCTGGTGGGACCTGTTGTCTAGAGACAAAGATTTGCCAGGTGGGGTGACACACACCTGTAATCCTGCACTCTGGGAGGCTGAGGCAGGAGGACTGTGAGTTTGAGTCTAGCCTAAGCAAGTTAGTGAAACCCTGTCTCAAAATAAAAAATAAAACAATGGGCTGGGGAGGTAGCTCAGTGCAAAGGCCCTGGGTTCAATCCCTAGTACCACACACACACACACACACACACACACACACATACACACACACAAAGTGAAAAAAAGAAAAGAGGTGCAGCTTCTGGACTGGTGCCTGAATAGCTATAGTTGCAAGAGGCCCAACTAGTGCTGGGGTAAAAGTCAGTGCCAGGGCCCCTGGCTGGGGAGGCCAGGAAATCACCCTGGGAATGATGACTCTACAGTACTGTGGCATAAACCATTTCCCTCTGGACAGCTCATGGCTCCTGCCACCCCAAGTCAGAGATGCACAAAAGCATCACAACCCAGCACAGGGGACGCACTGCCACTCCATTTGTCTCGGAGACAGCACCGCCAAGGCCTCAATGCTGTGATTTCTGGAGAGGAACCGGTACCCTCTGACCAAATCCTCTCAGGCCAGGCAGGCACCCAGGCAGGTTCTGGCTCTGGGTCCCGAGCCAGGTCCAAGGTGGGTGATCCGGGGAGGATAAGCAACTACTAGTGTCTTTAGGGAAAAAGAGGGCAGGTGGGAGAGCTACGCACGCTGCCCTCCTACCCTAGAAGGAGCAGCAGCGGGGGCTGCCGCCTTTGCTTCTGAGTGCATGCTGCTGGGGTGCAGAGAGAGCAGCAGTTCATCTCCTGCTCCCCAGAGACTGGGAACCACAGGCTCAGACACAGCAGCAGAGGCCAACACAGCATGACATGTGAGGTGCCCGGATCTCCCCCTCCTGGCACCAGCCAAGGACAATTCAATGATAAACCCCAGTCACGACCCAAGTCCACCAGAAGCACCCTGGCAGACCCATTTTGGGTGGGAGCCTGGGAAGTAGGAATCACAGCTCCTATCCTCGGGCCGTGCGGGCTGCAGCCTGACTGGAACAGAGACGTTGATCACAGCTCTGTTCAGCATCTCCCAAGTCCTCAATTTAGCTTCCTGGGGCAGGGCAGGTGGTGGGGACCAGAGGGTGGGTGCCTCACGCTCAGCAGGAGGAAAGCAGGTGGAAGGGGTGAGCCAGACACAGCACCAGGAAGGTGGCACATCCTTATGCTGCTGGCACTTACACTTTGATCTTGGGTGGAAACACATTTCATGCCGGGCTTCTCCTGGCCATGTGCTGGGGACAAGGGGCCTTCTGTGGACTCAGAGATCACAGGGTGGGCTGTGAATTGCACATCCCTTCTGGGCCTCACTTAGTATCTGGCAAACAGTGTTGGCACTGTTTGGCAGATGTTTGCTGAGTAACTTCACGAGCATAAATTGTCCTTTCCAATAGATGAAATGGGGGTGGCAGGGAGGATGCAAAGCAGTGGCTGGTGGGACCTGTTGAGGCTGTGTGATGCTCCATTAGGCTTGCCTACTACTTAAACGTTGACTGAGATTTATAAAATCTAGACTTGTTGCTTCTGAGAGTCTTAGCTCTGGTCCACAACCCGAGGATGCATCTCCATGACAACCACCTGTAGTAACCACCAGCGGCGCCCCCTACAGACCACACTGGGTATTGCAGTTGCTGTCGGGGATAATTTAAACCTAGCCCTTTGTCTTAAGAGAGGAGAAATAGTCTTCTAGAACCAGCTACCTGCAAAGTTGGGGCATAGGACGTCCAGAGAGGGCTGAGGGTTTTGGGAAACATGGAGCCATGCCTGTCACTCTGGAGCTTACTGTTTTCACAGCATGTGGCCCACCGGGTCTGCTGGGCTGAGTTTGAGGCCTCCAAGCTGGGATGCTGGGGTGGGGTTGAGATCTCCACATATAGCGTTCCCATAGGATGGCTTCTGAGTTCAGCACATCCTGGGGTAAGTGAGGGAGATGGGCCATCACCCAAGGAGCCCTGAGAGATGACAACAGGAAATGGGAGGGACAAGGGTGAAGGATGGACGGGCCAGTCAGCACAGCTTCGTGCACTGTATTCTGGAGCCTGGAACTGAGCCTGTCCTACAAGTCTCTAACATGTCTACGTTCACGCACTGGCTTTCTGTGTGGTCCCTGCACCACAGTGATGGGAGGTGCTTAAAAATTGCAAAACCAGCAGAGCACTGCGGCGCACATCTGTAATCCCAGCATTCTGGGAGGCTGAGGCAAGAGGATTGCAAGTTCAGGCCCAGCCTGGGCAATGAGAAAGACCCTATCTCAAAATAAAAAAAGAAAAAGAGTTGGACTTGTAGCTCAGTGTGGAGGCCCTGGGTTCAATGCCCAGTACCACAAAAAAGAAAAAAAGTGCAAAACCAGACTTCACCCCTCACCTGTCTTGGAGCAGGGCCAGAGCCTACATTTTGAACCCAAAATGCTGCTGCTGCACATCTTGGCTGATACTTACTGACCTTACCATGCCTAGGTCACATGGGGGATGCTCTTTTGGAAAACTTTGAGCTGTTTTTATGCAAACCCATAATGCGTAGCTGTCCCCTTCAGGCCTACCTTTTTCTAAGGTTTTTTTTTTTTTTTTTTTTTTTAAATCATCCTAGGGGTCTCTAGGCCCCATTTCCAAGAAGACAACAAGGAAGTACCTGGGAAAAACCAAGTGCTTTGCAAGGGTGGCCACGAGCTAAACGTGGCAGAAGTTTCTCCTGGCAGCTTCTGAAGACAACAGGAAGTCAAAGTGGAGGGAGCCCGGGGATCCAGGGCTGGTTCCCATGCATGGAGCTGGGGCCTACTACTTAAACGTTGGGACCCACTGTGCCTCCCCATCCACGGCCAAGGATGACAGAGCCCCTGTGCTCTGGGGCACAACCTCCCTAGCCAGCCATGGTCTGTGGGGTGCAGGTCACAGCGGCCGATGGGCCTCTGTCCCCAGGGAGGCCGGCCCAAAGGCTCTGCACGGATCACAGGAGGAATACAAAAGCTTGTTGAGCAAAAGGTTACAGCTAAGGAGCCTGCAAACAAGCATGTGAAAGACCGGCCAATCACGCTTTCTACCAACCAGACAGGAACCAGGAAGTGGTAGCTGATCCGTGAGCCGTGGGAAAGAGCAGGGAGCCAGGAGCAAAACCCTGCAGATGCACGTGGCCACCCTGGCGGTGGGGATGGCAGTGCAGGTGATGGGGCTGTGGGGAGCCGGGTGCTCTCTTCACCTTGGTGGGTGTCCAAGTTTTCAGGTGCCACTGTCTGGGGATAGCGAAGGCCTCTGGAGGCAGAGGTGCCAAAGCAAACACATGCCCGCGTGGACTCAGCCGGGGCCTCCAGGCGTCCGGGAATCAGGCCTTTGTGAGGATCAGTGACTGGGAGGGCACCTGCTTTTCTCTACTGCCACAGGGCAGAGAGCCACGGGTTTTCAGGGACTGAAGAGCCACCCAGGCTTCCTTGCAGCTCCTCAGAGCACCCCACAGACTGAAGGGTCCAAGACAAATCCATGTTGCTCCCAGCTCTCCGGGGCTGGCTATCACAGCAGGATGTGTGGTGCCTCTGAGAAGCCAGTCGGGGGTTCGGGGTTCACCTGGCTGCAGAGTTGGACCTGCCCATGGCCTACATCCAGCTCAGGACCTGTTTTCCACTTGGCTGATCAGCTGCAAATGGCTTTTTGTATTTTTACTTTTTTTTTTTTCCGGTACTGGGAATCGAACTCACGACCTGCACTTGCCAGGCAGGCGCTGTGCCACTCAGCTAAATCCCCAGCCCTGTTTTTTGTATTTTTAAATGCAAATTTTAAAAATGGATAAAAGACTTGCAGTACAAAGAGTCCTGCTAAGGCTTGGGGACCACAAAACATGAGACCTTTGCGTTCTGGCCCTTTGCTGGAAGCCTGGGCTGACTGCTGACCCAGTGCTTCTGCCAGGCCCTGCCATGTGGTCACCAGGGGTCTGGGCACTTGTGGGTATGGCATGAGGAGCAAAGGGCCCCCCTGGCCACAGAGGAGGCTGAATCAGGGATGCTGGGGCCCAGAGGGACCTGGGAGGATCTGCTCACTCAGGGCTTTCCATCTTTAAAATTTATAGACAGATCTCATTTTACAGTCTAAATCGGCATTTCTTTTTGCTGGGTTTCCATCATCTGCTTCGTCCAGACAAGAGGTGACACACAGAAGCACAAGTGCCCAGGCCGCGTGAGATGCTCCCTTACCTCCCTCCCGACACTGCACCCAGGTTCCTGGGCTCCTCTGAGCCCAGCTCCTCACAGGTCCTACACTATGCACCTGAGGCTGGGGGTGAACTGGATGAAATCGCTGATGTTTGATGGCATTTGACTGTGAACATGGCAATTTCCTGTGGCTCAGACTAAAAGATGCCACGTAAGAGAAGGCAGAGTCCACGTTACCTCCGAGATGGGTGGTGGAGAACCAGCAGACATGGTGGGCAGTGGCTAGGCCACCAGAGGTTAAAGTGGGGACCAGCGAGAGCTTCCAGCCCCAGAGACCTGCCAACGACTGCAGGAGAGAACGTGGTGCCACTTGAGGGTGTTCCAATGAGAACGATCCTGGTGTCCAGGGCAGGAAGGACCAAGAAAGCATCCCACAGTTTTGAGAAAGTGCGTTTGGGACACAAAAGTTCAACCCAGAGAAGCCCTTTCATGCTGGCATGTAGCATCATTTCACCAGAAGGACAGCAAACCTAACATAACCCAATCTTCTGTTTACTTCAAGGAGAAGCTCAGAGATGGCGCTCTAGCTAACACTGTGGAGAGAAAACTAGAGTGCTTTGCGGGATTGTTTTCACTTTGAAAATTGAATCTCACTTTAGGACAAGAAGGGCATTGTCCTCGCGGGTGAGGGACAGCTCTGGCTGGAGCGTAGGGTGGGGTCTAGAGCCTATCCGCTCGGTCTCCCATATCTCTTACCCCTCCTGGACACCCTGTTTGCTTCAGCGGTGATAGGAAGCTCACTACCCCAACAGGAAGTCTGCTCCAGTTTTTGACATGTCTTATGTGGTTATTCTTTCCTCTGACCTTAAATACGCCTCCCCCAGTCCCCAGGCCCCTCTCTTCCACGTGGATGAGCCAGGCTTGAGTGACTTGGGGTGGGAAAGCCTGCATTAAAACCCTAAGTGCATGCCTGTAATTCCTGCTACTTGGGAGGCTGAGGCAGGAGGACCTCAAGTTTGAGGCCGGCCTGGGCAACCAGCAACCCTGTCAAAAAAAAGGGATCTGGGGGTGTGGCTCAGTGGTGGATTACTTGCCTAGCATGTGCAAGGCCCAGATTCTCTCCTTAGATCCACAGGAAAAAAAAAAAAAAAAGCCTGAGTGAAGTTTTGACCACACAGGTGAGTCATTTAGTGATGGGATCAGTTCTCCTTTTTCTCCTCCCTTTTGGGAACCTGAAGTGACGCAGAGTTACACAGCGCAGGAGGTGTTTGCTGGGAAGCTTGCACTGCTGTTCCAGGGTCTGGCTCTGCGTTCCAGGGCCACTGGCACCTGACTCCTTCCCTCCCCAGGGTCCTCATGGTGATTTGGTCTCAGGAGGTGGGGACAGGCGAGTAGGTCTCCAGGTCTCAGATCACCTGGGAAGGGCAGAGTGAGGAGCCCTCCAGGGGATGCTGCCCCAAGCCCTCATGGCTAGTGCCGGCTCCGGCTTTGTGGAGCCTTCCCTTGCTCGGGACCCTCCGCTCTGCTCACTCACCGATGTCCTTCGCTCTGACAGCCACTGGCCTCCGGAGCTCAGTGACAAACTTCTTGGCATCCAGGCGGATCTCAATGATGTTGTTCAGCAGCGCGAAGAGCGGGGCCAGTGGGAAGGACGCGACGAACAGGGTGACAAAGCCAAACTGGATGACTGCAATGAGAGTGGGGTGCTGCTCACCGCCGTGCCTGGCACTGAGGGGGATGGGACACCTACTGCCCCGGCCCCGAGCTCAGCAGACCCCAGGCCAGCGCCCTGCCTTTAGAGGGCCATCTGCAGCTTCCAGGGGGCACTTGCACGACAGGATGACCCCAGTGACCTGAGGCCAGGGCATGGCCAAGGGGAGAAGCCTCAGCCACTGTGCCTGATGCTTGAATAGCGGGGATGCTTTTCTGATACAGGAAGTCATCACTCACGTAGTGGGAAAAGGCCCCCAGGGGCTTGGAGGCCCATGCTGCACCCTCACCATGGAAAGGGCCTCAGTTCTGTCCCACTGTCCCACTGCCAGGGGCTCCTTGAGGTCTGGAAGGCCTGGCCCCATCACTGTGTCCTTCAGAGCCCCAGATATCCCCTCTACTGGGTCTCAGGGTGGGCGGCCCCATCCTGCAGACGGCCTGGTTGCTCCTCCCCTAGGCCTCACTCCTACTGCTCATTTAGCCACGAGTGAGCACTGGGGCTTCTCTGGCCCTGGATGCCATAGCTGGCATGTGCTGAGCTCTGAGGGGAGATCAGGAAAAGGCTGCTGTTGGGAACAGGGTAGGGGAAGCCACTGAGGAGCTATATATCAGGACCCGGTCCAAAGGTGCCCGGTGCCGGGGGTAAGGAAGGAAGCCAGCAGAATGTCAACCAGTGCCCAATGGCTGACTGTGGGCATTGTGAGCACCGAGGGGACGGGGCAGGGACCACGGCAGCCCCATCCTGGAGCTTTCCTGGGGGCCTCCCGCTCCCCACATATGGACTGGGTGGAAGATGCTCTGGAGGTGACCTGTCAACTGGACAGGCCAGGCAATGTGGGCCGTGCATACAAGTGACAGTGTGGCACTAACACTTGTGTGGCACTAACAATGTGACAAAGCGTGGAGGGAAGTGAGAGGCTGCTGGGGCTGGGGCCGGGGCGGGACGTCCCCATCTGGGTCTTTCTTCTGTCTACCTACATCTGTGTGCTCCGCTGCCAGCCTCAGCCTCCCCTCAGGAGACAATGGCAGCTCGTATGACAGGGACAAAGCAGGGTGCAGAAGCACACCCTGGATGGCGGGGTCAGGCCAGGCACGGAAAGAGGAGCCCCTTCCAGGAACTGCGCTCTTCCAAACCCAGGAGCACCACGGGAGACCTCCAACCACTAGGAAAACCCAGACAAATGTCCACAGTCTCTTGGCCAATGGCAGGCGGTGGTTTTGTTGGTTATCTGGTCTTCCAGGCTTCTATGGAAGGTGCAGGCTGACCTTGAGGGCAGGGTCAGCCCTGCCCCAGACTTGGCTGGTCACAGCCCTGTGGCTAAGTCTTAGCAGGTGTAGAAGGAAGTAGCTGCCTTGGAGCCGCCCACCTGGCTACTTTTGCATCAGCCAGGATTTTCTTCCAGGAGAAAAGAGACAGGCTAAGTGTGGGGTTGCAAGTTTGAGCCCAGCCTGGGAAACTTAGTGAGTGAGTAAAACCTTGTCTCAGCATAAACAATGAAAAAAGAACTGGGGATGCAGCTCAGTGTGAAGGTCTTGGGTTCAATCCCCAAATCAAAAGAGATGACACAGAGAGAAACAGCCATCCAAACATGGCCCTTTAGATCCTGAGTCAGCGGCCAGGGGCTCCTTGTGCAATCACCTGGGGAGCCCGGGCCACCTCTCTGGAGCCGCCAGGCCCACAGGAGGAGCTTAGGGGGTTCAGGGAGGCACTCCTGGAGCAGTGCACGGGAACTCCCTTGGGCTCCAGCAACCTGAGGCTACACAGAGCAGACCTGTGTGCACTCGGGCGCTCACTCTGGGCCTGTCCAGCTTGCTCAGTGCTTGTGGAAAATGCAGTCCTGGACAGCCGCTCCCCTGCAAAGGCCATCGACGGGTTTGGGAACCAGCATTTTTGAGACCCGTTGGTGGTGGCCAGGGGCACTGTACTCGGAAACCCTCTGCCTGAGTCTTCCTGTCTACCTTCTCACATCCATTCATGAGCAAACATGTACTGAGCACCTGCTGAACACCCAGGCCTGTTTCAGGGGGCAAGACCCTGAATGATTGGTAGTGAAGCCAGCCTTGTGTAGGTGGGGTGAGACAGTCTGGACAGAGCAAAGAGGGACTAATGGTACCAGCTGGTGACTGGCAGAGGGAGCAGTGGGAAGGGCAGGGCTGTTGCCTGTACAGGGGAGGGGCTGCCCCCTTTGACCTCTATGATCAGGAAGACATCTGATAAGGGACATTCTGAGCAGCACCTCCGAGGAAGTGAAGAAGGGAGAAAGTCATGCAGGTCTTTGAGGGATAGTTTTGCAGTGGGAACACAGCTAGTGCAAAGGCCCCGTGGCAGACCTGAGCAGTGTGGTAGGGAACAACAAAGAGGCCAGTGTAGCCAGAGCAGGGAAGGCTGATGGAGAGGAAGTGGAGCCTGAGCTCCAGTGGCCTGTGCAGGCCACACCTGGCTATCCCTGCCTCTGCTCCTGCTGGGTGTTCTAGCCAGCAACACAACTCAGGAGGACAGGTCTAATCGCTATGCTGCTGTGGAGTCCTGCTCTGTGTGAGGGAAGCAAACCACAGGCGCTCACTGCCAGGAAGGAGAGGAGTGTGGCCTGAACGCTGGGTCCTCTGCATGGAGGGACTGAGGGGCAGCCTGAGGCCGGGGTGGAGCGGGGACTGTGGCTGTGTGGGCTGGGTCTCTGATAGTCCAGGAAGAGGCGGAGAAGTGGCCTGTGGGTCAGGCTGTGTGGGTGGGGATGGCGCCTGGGGGCCGGTGCTGCCTGCCTTGGGCCTTCAGGAGCCGGGAGCCAATCCCGAGGGGCAGTGCTCACGGACCCATGGCAAACACACCTGCCTTACAGGGTTTGGGTGGCCCCTGCCCTCATCTCCAGCTGCGACTCCAGCTCTGCGGGTCAGGGTGGGGACATCCCACAGCCCCAGGGCCCGGTTCTACCCTGCTGCCGCCGCCCCAGGGCACGGTGAGGCTGAGGCCTCCACTCACTCATCTCCATGTACTCAGGGGTGAGGCCGGCGAAGGGCTCCAGGTTGTAGTCTACCTCATAGCGCTGCTTCCTCTTCCCCTGCTCCTCGTGGTCAGAGGGGCTCTGGCGCCGCCGCCTCAGGCGCCGGATGAGCTTTTTCATCTTCCTGGAAGATGCTCTGCATCAGCAGGGGGCTTTGGGGAGAGAGGGCAAGGGGCTGCACCCCGCGTTGCTTTCCTTCCTTCTTCCCTCCCCTCTCTTCCTCTCCTTCCCTCCCTCCTATCCCTCTCCCTGTCTCAGTCTCTCTCTCTTTGTCTCTGTCCCTATCCCTGTCTCTGTCGGTCTTTCTCTCTCTCATACTGGGGCTTGAACCCAGAACCTTCACACCGAGCTACATCCCCAGCCCTTTTCAAATTTTTAAAAATATTTTTTTGAGACAGTTCTCGCTAATGCTAAATCGCCCAGGCTGAGCTGGCACTTGCAGTCCTTCCGCCTCAGCCTCCCAGGGTGCTGGGATTTCAGGTGTGCGTCACCACACCCTGCCTCCAGGTGCCGTTTCTCATTTTCTGTGATAAGCCCTGAATTCATGTATTGGCAGTAGTGACTATTGCTCTGTGTGACATGGATATTTCTTTCCCCTTCCTGCCAGGGAGCATCATGGATTTGTTGGTTTCTTAAGGACCGTGAGGGGTGGGAATATAAAGGTCACCAAAAGCTGAGGGACAAGTGGCAGGGTCTGGGGACAACACAAACTGGGGCGTGCCAGGAGGACACTTAGGAGTTGTGACCATGGAGAAGACTCCGGGGAGTGGCCCCTCTGCAGAGGACAGGTGGGCATGGGTTTCTGAAGGGGACAAGGAGAAGGCAAACACTGACCCCTCCATCTACCAATCCCGGGTCCCACAGGTGGGTTTGGGGGTGTCTTGTTACCCTAAGTGCTCATCCAGCCTCCTTCCTTTGTCCACACTGGGGAGACTTTTCCCCACCCAGTCCTCACTTTTGTCACCCAGAACAGCATAAGAGCCACCCATGCACCCAAAGACCCAGCGCCCCACTCGGCCTGCCCCCCAGCTGGACGGGACTCACGGGATGCCGATCTCGAACAGGTTGTTCTGGATGAGCTGCTTCCCCAGCATAATGATACTGAGCTGGATGCAGAGCTCCATGAGGCAACCACCTGGGGCGCACTGCAGAGAGAACCGTGTCAGTCTCACCCCCGGGGGACACCTGGAGAAAAGAGAGTCCCATCCCCCAGGCAGCGAACATAACCATCGAGCTGGGGGTTGACTTATGTCCTCCAAAAAGACGTTTAAGCCCTAATACCTGGAATCTGTGAAGGGGGCCCTCCTGAGAGAAATGGTCTTTGCAGGTATAATTAAATCAAGATGAAGTCATCCTGGAGTAGGCGACCCTAATGCTATGACTGGCGTCCTTGTAAGGAAACAGACACAGGGAGAAAAAGGTGGAGACTGGACTGATTGTAAAGGATCACCAAGAACCCTGCTGCTGCCACATATTGGGCAAAGCAAGGGAAGACTCTTCTCCAGCACCTCCAGAGGGAGCACGGCCCTGTGGGTACCTTGATTTTCCAGCTTCCAGAGCCATGAACAAATAGATTCGTGGTGTTTTGTGGAGGGAGCCCCAGGAAAATAACACACCTTGCTGCAGGCTGCTGAGCAGAACCAAGAGCTCGGAGAGGGTGCCGGTCCCCATGCGTGGGCCTTGGCCCTTGGATTCCTCCTCCTCCCCCAGGGCCGATGACCTGTCTCATACCTTGGCCACCCACCCACAGGCTGCACAGCGTGCAGGTCAGGCCATGCCGCTGAGAAAGCATACAGTGAGGCAGCCATGCCCTCAGTGGGCTGTGGCTCTGCAGGCCAAGACTGCCCGGCCGGGGAGGTGAGATGCCTTTGTGGGCAGGAAGCTTAACCTGCCCAAGCAATAGAAGCCTTGGTGGCCTTGAGGGCACAGGGACCTTACTCTGAGACTTCAGCAAACTCTTATATACAGTTACCAAAAAACTTGTCTTGCAGAGCCATTATTTCATAAAAAAGCTGATTACTTTTGTTTTATTCTATTCTACAAAGATAGTTCTCCTGCTTCTGTAATGGCAGAGTTTGAGTGTGCCATGTATGTAAGAAAATGCCATGCAGAAAGTAAAAATGGGCTTTTTGCAAACATCATGGCTCAGGAGGAGCCCTAAGATGCCCAGGGTCTGCATTCAGGCTTTTGAACTTCTAGGCTGTAGCTGAAGTGGCTGGATTGCCCTGTACCTGATGCCCACTCCAACCTGCTATCCCGTTTCATGGTGAAAATATGTACTGGTTCCCCTAGGCCTGGACCTGGACCCAGCCTGGCCTGATGGAGCCACCAGTCATGGGACAAATACAGTGGAGCCGGTCCATGGGCCATGACTCAGCGGCAGGCGGTGGCTGGCGCCATACCCTCTGTGGCCAGAATTGTGGGGCAGAAGCCAAATGTTGCCAGCCTCAGGTCTGAGGGCAGAAGGGTGGGCACTACAAAGTTGGAAGTAAAAAAAATACAGCCAAGGTCTGTTTTTCCTCATTAACTCATTTTAGCCAGAGACGGAAATACTCGAAGCCTGGCCAGAAAAAGAAAAGAACAAAAGACAACGTGTGTAATTTTCTTTCTTTAACTCTGAGGAGATTTTGTCTTTTTTAGGGTGATTCCCTGTGGGCAGGCCAAGTAAGACCAAAGCTGACCCACCAATGGGGAAAAGCACAGGTTCTGTCAGAGGAAAGCAAAGGCTGCTTTAGTCTAGCAAACAGGTGTCATGCTGCTCCTGAGGTCCCATGTGGGCTTGTGGGGGAGCCAAGCAGGGGGGGCTGCTGGAAACGATAAGCCTCAGTTACCTCCTCCATTCGGAACGAGCGGAAGATGTACACGTAGTCTCCCGGGCGTCCCACGAACCTGGAGCAAATAGGAAGGTCATTAACAGAGCCAGGTTTTGCTTACTTGGGTAGAGAACACCCAAGGATGCACCGTGCTGGGCTCCGGCCCCGAAGTCTGAGCCTTGAGTCTGTATTCACAGGCCACACCCCCGCTTGATCTCTGCTAGGATGGAGTACAGCTGGCCACCCTGCTTGCTGGAGGGCCTGCTCTTTTGGGTCAATCTCTACATGCTTTTGGAGTAGCCAGACTGCTGTTAGGATTGCTTCCTGGGGTCCCCGCTGCCCAAAGATCTGGCTGTCTGCAGTCACCACTTCCTGGGGTGCCCACTGCTCAGGAGTCCTGCTGTTTTGCCACCCAAGCGAGAGCCAGGCCTTCTTAGAGGGTCGTAGCTGTGGGAGCCGGGCCTCCCACTTACAGAAGGGAAGAGGCGAGCCTTGCACCAGATAAGGTGGAAAAAGTTGGGCAAAGGCTGAAGAAGTCCCTACCGTCCTTTGAAGAAAGCCACATAGAAGATGGGGGTGTAGGAGTTCACGAACTTCAGCAGGAAAGCCTTGAAGATCAGTCTCTCCTCGAAGCTCTTCTCAGTCTTCGGGACCTCTGGGGGACAGAAGGACAATGCCAACCTGCTGCCTCTGACCACAGGCACCAACACCCCCTCAGCTCACAGTCGGCTCAGACAGGGACCTTGGGCAACACTGTTGGGCAAGACCCGGGACATGGACACTCACCAATCTTGGTGAGCCACCTGGCGATGCAGCCATAGACCTCATCCAGGAGGATGATGACCACCAGGTTGATGATGACCGCGGTGGCTGTGACCGTGACCCGGATGTTGGACCTCACAGAGGGGGAGGAGTTCATGGCCAAGGCGGCGGCCATGGAGATTCTGTAGATGATGACACCGAGGACGATGGCGAATGTCACTGCGATCTGTGGAGGAGGCAGGGAGGCACTTGGCAAGGGGCCCAGCTCTCCCCAGCCTCCAGCTCTTCTGGGTCAGAACTGAGACTGACATTTCCTGTGCATCCCCACAGGCCAGGGCTCTGTGTGTTAACCTACCTCAGGTGCCTTTTGTTTGATACAAGAGGGCCCCGCAGATCAGAGAGGTTGTGTAGCCAGGCCGGGGCACCCTGCTCAGGAGCTGAGATTTACTAGTGGGTCTACCGGAACCTGAAATTCACCAGATCTTTCTGTTTCAGGGACCAATCACAACAGGACACAGCATGACCTGTGCCGCTGGTATGTGGGGGTGCTAACTGCTGCAGGAGGGGTGCTTCTCCCCTGACCTCGGGTGAATGAGCAGAAGCGGGGATGGCCCCAAAGGAAGTGCTGGCCCAGGTGTGCCACCCCCAAGGCTTTGCCCTGTGGTAGAGGGGGCGGCGGGCAGCACCGCAGGTCTGGTGGGAGACGGGATCCAGCCTCCACAAGAGCAACCCCAAGGCTGGCCAAATCCAGCATGGATCAGAACCGTCCATAAAACAGGCTGGTGGTTGCTCAAGAGACTGAGTCAGAGCTGGCTACCTTGACCAGTTCGTTCTACCCACTGTAGATTGTCTGTCTGTCTATCTGGAATTCTTATTCCTACGGCCCAACTCAAGCAGCAAGACCCAGTCCCTGCCCTACTCTGCCCCGCCCAGCGCTATGGATGCCCACTCTGAGTACTCACTTGCCCCATGGACAATGGGCAAGTGGGAAGCGCATACAGGGCCGGGCCTGTAGACCAAGACTGAGTTCCAGCTGCAGTATGCAGGTTCCTGCTGGGTGTTCCCTGTGTCCTGGGTGCAGACGGAGGGCCTTGTCCCTGCTGAGGTTCCCTCATGACTCCCAGAACAGCCCACGTGCTTTCAGTTACAGCTCAGGATGGGTGAGACATGCTGGCCCCAGAGGAAGGCTGTGGCCTTTGGGGATCTCCTAGGCAGGCTTTCATTGTACATGCTGGACCGGCACTGGTGACTGAATGGTGACCATACCCACCCTGGAAAGCATGGGCAGCTTGCACCATTCCCTGGCCAGTGGTAGCTGGCTGGGGGGTGTGGGTACCATTCCTGGAGCTAGGGAACCAGACTTCCCTTGTAACATCCCTCTGTCCTACCAGGTGAGGGTAGTGCTTTGTGCCAGCAGGCGGAGTGGAGATGGGGGGCTAGGCCTGTGGTGACTCAGCCACGGCAGGCACCTCCTGCATACACATTGTTAGAGGCCAGCGTGTGCCAGGACAGGCAGGCCCTGTACTCCCTTCCTGAAATTAAGGTGCCAGGCCAGGTCTGTGGGCTGTCCACACTAGCGTCTGGAGGACCGGAGCTACATCTGTTCCCTGAATGGGGCTCTGGAGTCGGGGACAGAGCTGTGTCCTCCCCCACAGTGAATGTGATCACCAGGAGGTTGAGGGTTGGGAGGAAATGCTGGCCAGTTCCTAACCCATGGCCCAAACCTTGGCTCCATTCTCTTGCCTTGTGGGGACCATAGCATGCTCTTCTCTCAGCCTCTCTGCAGACTGGTGGCCAGAGAATTGGTTGTGACCAGTGAGATGCAGGTAGAGGCCCCTTCAAAGGATTGGAACAGCCTCTGCTGCCCATTTTCTGACCCACCCCAACCCTCCCCTTTCTTCCATCTGGAAAGCAGATGTGATATTGGAGAGGAAACAGCCATGCTATGGCCAGGAGTGGACACAAGGCTAGGATGGATGAGCAGAAGGTCAGAGAAGCTGCCAGACCAGCCCTAGACCACCCACCCTCTTCCCTCACTGGTCCTTTTGCTAACAACTCTCTTTGTTGCCTGCCAGGTGCAGCTGGACACTGGGCTTCTCTAAGTCTCCCATTCCCTGAGCCCTGCCCTTCAATGTGTGAGGGCTGGGGATGCTCTAGGTGAGCAGAGAATACCCAGGTATTCTCTGGTTATTCCCCAGCACCAAAAGAGACATGACATGCACATTTAAGGTGAGGGTGAGCCCACTCCCACACAGTGTCCTGGAGAGCAGCTCTGCCAGTTCATCTTAGTTGTCAACCTACTGGATTAAGAGACCCTTGGAGAGGTGAATGGGTCATGGAGTCTATACTCATCAGTGGATTAATCCAGAGCATCACAGTTGAATGTTGACAGAAGGTGGGGGTTACTTGGAGAAGTGGAGGGCACATCTCTCACTCTGGCATTTCCCCTCTGCTCTGCTTCCTGGCCATCACGAAGTGAGCAGCACTCTTCCTCCATTCCCTTCTGCCATGATATTCCTGACTTGAAGCCAGCTGACCATGGACTGACTCCCTCTGAAACTTGAGCCACTATAAGCCTGGAGTTGTGCATGTCAAGTAGTTATCCCAGCAGTGGAAAAGCTGAACAACATAGTAATATAGCCCTCCCAGCCTGCAACAAACTCCCCTTCTCTGGGGCAAAGGGAGGTGGTCTTAGGTGTCCCTGGCCCCCTGGATTTCTTTACACCAGTCAACGTTCCCCTTGTTGTGTGTGAAGAGTGTGGGGAGAAACTGAGCCCTATGCTGCCTTCCATTACTTGGTTAAGTGGCCCTTGGTCCCCTGCTCAACCCAGGAAACCCAGACAGCCTCCTGCCTCCTTTCCAAGTTTGCATCATACAGGGGCTCTTGGGGCAAAGTGACCGTCCAGTTCCTGGCTCTGCCACCTGTTGGCTCATCCTGGGGAGAGAGGCACAACCTCTGAGCTTCAGTTTCTCCAGGCAGCATGGGCAATGGTACCAGGACCGGCCAGCTCTGAAAACTGAATGGGATGTTCCTTGCAGCCCTCGGTGCAGGTGGCCAACCAAGGGCTTTGGGCATCAGGTAGCTCTATGAGGCTAGACAAAATGTGACCAGTGGTTGCCCTGACCACTTGAGGGATCATGGGCGCTTAGCAGGGGTAGGGCTCAGCCTGAGTCAATGTGGGATTGGCGTCTTCTAAGACAGCCACAAAGAGCTTGCCGACTTATTTGCATCAGCTGAGCAGATGAGCTCAAAGTCACAGACCTGTCATCCATCACCTGATCAGTATGACTGTGACTTTTGTCCTGTGTCTGTGTCATTTCTTTATGGGTTTTCTGAAAGACTCCACAGTTTGGTTTTACATGATTCTGTGAAGTCCCAGGTTTGAATGCTAGTTATTTAAATAGATGTCACCCTCAATGAAACTCGGGCGTCTAAGACCACCTGAGGTCACCTCTGGACCCCAGGCATGTGGAACCCCCAAGGGCTGCTATGGAATCCTGGCCCCATCCCGTTCTAGGGATGGCCACCTGAGGAGCCAGGGCCACTGTGTCCTAGAGTGAGTGGTACCGGTGTTCCCGGTGGCCTTGTCATGGTGGGTGCCAAGCTCCTCCTCATGGGCATCCCTCCTTTTTGCTGTTGCCCTCTGGAACTCACCATGAAGATGATGGAGACCAGGTTGGTGAGGTACGCCGGGAATCGGTCTTTCCAGGTCAGCTTCACCTTGTCGGTCTGCAACACGGAACGGTGAGGGTCACTCGCTGGAAGTACCAGGGCACAGAGGTGTGTGCACACACAGATGACGTGGACAACAGAGAGACTTGGGAAACCTTAAAACAGGCGCTGAGCAGGTCCAAAGGCCTGGTGTTCCCAGAGGCACACGGGACCTTGTTACCTATACAGTAACACTATGTGCGGACAGGGTGACTGTCAAGGAGCTCATTTCCTCCACGAGCTGGTGTAAGCTGCCAATGCCACCTAAGACTGGGAGTCCTATATCTGGGAGCAGCCAGCATTTGAAATCCACTTCTACCGCTGCGGGGCTCCCTTTGAGGGCCCCAGGGTTCAAGTGTTTAGCTATTCACTACCCAGACTATAATAGTTATTTTTCTTTTGCTGAACAAGGTGAAACAAGCCACTAGCATTACAAGTTAAAATGTTGATCACTGCGTAGGAACAGGAAATGTAGGGACATATGGCTTGGGAAGGCTCTTGGGGCGGGGGCCAGCTTGGTCTGTAGGAACCTCAGGAAGAAGCTGGTCAGTGACCTAGGATATTTCAAGTGGGGCCGGGGTTTTCAACATGTGGATCGTGGAATGCTGGCATGGACCCTGTACAGGGGCGGGCGCATGAGTGTTAGTGGGGACACCACGAGGTGCTCATAGGCAGCTGTGACAAGGATGGCTCAGGAGCCCCAGTGAGGGAGAGCTCCCCCAACATGGGATCCACCACAGCCATGCAGGGACATGGTGACACAGACAGGGCTCACGAGGTATGGCAGGAGGTAAGGAAGTGCGGGCGTGAGTGTTAGGAGAACACAGGGCGGACAGGAAGAGCACAACCACAAGGACTTGGAGGTCTGCGCACAATCAGGATGCACGCTGCCCCGAGACACAAAAGTACCAATTTCACCCCCGCCATGGCGCTCTTAACCCTCTGCTTCCACTTGTTTGTTGACTCCTCCGGAACATGCCGGCGCTTCTGAGGGCAGGCAGGGAAAAGAGGCTGAGGCAGGATGAGGCATGCTGACCTTGGGCCAGGTTGAGGCCCTTGGAGCACATGCTTCCATAGGGCCAACTCCAGTTCTGGGCATTTAAAACAAGTAAGAGGGGGCAGAGACCCACATTCTAAAAGCAAGGCTGCAAGGAAGGTCATGGTGACAGAGCTGGAAGACTGGAACTCCAGCATGCCCCCCCCTCTGGGCCCAGTGGGCTCCATCTCAAGAGATGACAGCCAAGATTTCAGCAGTTCAGAGACAGGGGTCCATCACCACAAGCATCTCAGAAAGGCAGGAAGGAGCCACATCCAGAAGCCCAGGTTACTACACCAAGGACATGGTGCATTTTTTGTCATAGCTGGGGGGAAAGATCCAAACCAGAGAAGCAGTGGCCAGGAGCCACACGAAACAGAGTGGGAAAGGAAGGGTGTGGCCCTTGGGAAATAGCTGGGACTGACATCACTATTAGGAGCCTGAAGAATAAGCCTGACACCTACACGGCTCCCTGTGCTCAAGAGCTTGAGGTGAAACCAAGCCCTGGGCCGAGGGGCAGCTCCAGCTCCCCCAAACTCCGGCCTGCTGTTTTTTTGAGCTGAACTCCCGTCCCAAGCCGACGTGGTGCAGCCATGAGGCTTTTTCTCCTTGGGAAGGAGTGAGACACCCATCTGAGCTCACTCTGAGAACAACCACAGAGCCACAGGCTGACTGTCCCGGGGGCCTTATGCCAAATTCTGAGACATCTTGACTCGGGCTAGGAGTTGGGAACGCCACCCGAGGGCCCACAGTGGCCAGCTACGTACAGACGGGAGCATATGCAGTGTGACGGGTTGAACTGGACAGGTAGCCTCTTTACTTTAGGGTGACCATTCTGGCTTGAAGGGCACACTGAGGGAGGGAACGTCCTTCCCAACTGCAGGAGGCCTGGGCCCCTTCCGGTGTTTGCTGCATCACAGGAGCTGGGAGTGCCCACCTTCGTTCCCAGATGGGATTCTGTTTACTGTGACCTCTGGGCACTTGGTATCAGCAAGTTCTGAACACAGGACATAATGACAAGGAATGAGAACCCCAGGGGTTTGTCCTGGCCAGTGCCTGAGGCAGACTGGGCAGTCTGGGAGCCAGAAGAGCAGTTTCCAACCATTCACAGAGACAGGGCGAATTTCTCCATCTCAGTGAGAGGCGGACAAGGCCTATGAGTTCCTTGCTTGTCCCAGATGGTGTGAAAATCCAGCATTAAAAACAGCCATATGCTCTCAAAGATTTAGTCTACGCACACAAGCCTTCAGTTTGGACAAAAGGTTGGGGACAGAGAAGGGGATTCATTATAAAAACAGGGTGGTCTCGTGTGCATCACAAAAAGCACATTTCTCTCTCTCATTCTCACAGTCTCTGAGGGGAACAAAGGCTGTTTGCTCAGGGACCCTGGGTCACAAATGCTTCCATCTCATTGCTCGGTGTGGAACACGGGTTGCAGGGTCAATGCTAAATGCACCACAATAAAGAGTCATGTAGTTCTTGTGCTGAAGTGTGTGTAAGGTTTGAGATTTCCCACAGGATACATCAGGGTTTGACATCTCCAGTCCTTGGGCCAAGTCTGCCCCTTCCTGTTTTTGTAAATAAAGTTTTATTGGCACACAGCCAGGCCCATTTGTTTACCGGTCATCTATGGCTACTTTCACATCACAGTGTAGAGTTGAGTGGTTGCAGTATAGGCATAAAGAACCTAAAATACTTACTATGTGGGCCGACCCTGGACTAAACCTAATGAGCACAGTATTTGCCAGCCCTGGTCTACATTGTTGATGAACTCGGGTGCTTGAACACACAGTGCTCTACTGCTGGCAAAACAAGCTGGCAATGATCCCCATACCTCTTTGTTTTTGGATTCTTTCCTCAGTGACTTCTCTAAGACTCTGGCTTCGTATTCGGCCCTGGGATGATCCTGTGAAAGAAACTGAGTCAGAGCAGCGCCAGGCTCACAGCAGGTGTGAGATCCTCCGCGTGGGCACATGGCAACCAGCCCATGTATGTGCTGCGGGTGTCCTACGGGGCCAGTTCATGGTGGGCTGCCTGCCGCATTTTCAATTCTGAGGTCCCTGTGTTTGGCCTGGCGCAGTCCCCTGTTGGGACCCCAGCCCAATGGGGCAGCTGTGGGGCCTGGTTTTGGGGTCCTGGGAGGACGAGGCTGTGCCAGGCTGCAGTGAGGACCAGCCATGAACTGGCCCCGAGAACAGGCTGTGGAAGCCGCGGGGAGAGACGCAGTGTGCAGCAAGCGCGGGCAGACCAGACGCCCCGGGGAGCCCAGAGCGGTCAGCGGAGGCGCTGGAACGGAAGAAGGGGTTAGAGGAGGGGAGAAGCAGAGACCCCGGCCCAGGAGAGCCGCGAGGAGCTGCGAGGTGGAAACAGATGGGTTAGGTGTGGCAGAGGTCCTGGTTCTGGGAGATAGGCTGTAGGAAGACAGAGGAGTGACAAAAAGTTCCAAACCTTGACCGCCTCCTTCGGGGAACCAGAAAAGGGAAAACAAAAACAAGAACAAAAAGATTTCATTAATCACACTGTTTTTCAGCCATGGGACGCATCCTCTAAAGATCGTTGTCTTAAAAACCAGGATGAAGATTGGGTACAGGTGACTAGGAGGGGAGGGTGACGGTAGGGTCACTGTGATTTTGGAGGACCCTACAGGTTCCTGGTTTTGCAGTGGCCAAGTTTTGGCTAATTCCTGAGAGACAGCCAGGCGGGACCCAGCTTCCTTCTGCTCTGTGTGACAAAACCTGGGGTCACACCATGCAGCGGGGAGGGGCCTCACTGTGGGGAGCTCGTGCCAGTCACCTGGGATTGTCTGTCCAGGGCTCCCCGCCATGAAATCAAGCCCTGTTTGCCACAGTCAGGAAATCATGGGCTGGGACGCTAACGGGTAAGCAAAGGGACCAGCCCTTCCCTTCCACTTTCCCCCAGCCACAGGGACTTCATGCAAAGGACATTCCAATCCAATTTCTAAAACAAGGTGACCACGGCTATGCTTGGTTTTCTTTGACTCTTTGTTCTAGTTGAATCTTTGTGTGTGTGTGTGTGTGTGTGGTGCTAGGGATTGAACTCAGAGCTTCAAGTATGCTGCGTAAGTGTTCTACCATGGAGCCACATCCCCAGCCCTTTTAATTTTTATTTTTTTTATTTTGAGACAAGGTCTCATAGTCACTAAGTTGCCCAGGCTGGGCTTGAACTCGAGATCCTCCTGCCTCAGACTCCTGAGTAGCTGGGCTTACAGCTGTGTGCCACCACGCCTGGATCTCTTTGAATGTTTCTAATTGAAACAGCAACAAGGGAACAGCCCACCCAGGGGGCGGTTGGCCCAGCCCCTGACACAGAGACAGGGCTCTGGGCTCTGCCCTGGGTCTGCCCCTAAAGAGCTGCGAGCCAATGAATGGGTCAAGTCAGCCTCGAGCTGGCTACCGTGATGGAGGATAAGGAGATGAGCCGTGGGGGAGAGCTGAGACGGTTATACGGGCAGGTGACAGGTGTGGTCCAGGTGTGGCTAGCTGGGTGGCCCATTATGGGCACTGTTTTTGTGCTGGGCCCTGCTCTGTTGGCCCAGTGAGGACCCCTCCCCCATCAAATGAGGATGAGTCCTTAGCTACTGCCTATTTGACAGGCCAGGATCCTGGGGCGCAGGGATGTTAAGCAACTTGCCCCACATCACACAGCAAGGATGGGACGGAATGGAAGTTCTGCAGCCTGGCCCCAGAGGTCTGACTTGTAACCCAGATGGGGCTGTATGGCCTACCCAGCAAGTACAGGTCAGCACAGCCCCACCGTAAGCAAGCGTGCAGCTCACCAGTGCTCTGGGCCAAGACTCTTTTGGGGGACCATGCTCCTTTTCTTCCTCCCTCCTTCCCTTTCTTTCTTTCCGATCCTTGGGATTGAATGCAGGCTCTTTGCACTGAGCTACATTCCTATCTCTTTTTATTTTTTTAAATTTTGAAATAGGGCCTAAATCACTAAATTGTCCAGGATGAGTTTGACTCACAATCCTCCTGCCTCAGCCTCCCAGCGTGCTGGGACTACAGGCACCGATTATAATAGAGACTAGCCTGAAATAGTGTCAACTAGGTAAAAGAAAATAGCCCAAAGGGTTAAGAGCTAGTTAAGCTTAAAAGTATAAAACACAACCCAAGAACAAAAAATAAAAGTTAGAACAAGAGGAGATAAGGGCCTGTCCTTTCTTGGGTATCCAGCAGGAACTTTTGTCTTATTATTTCCAATAAGCACTCTCTTAACTTTCTCCTTTTGTCTGTGGTTTTATTCTTCAATTTAGTGACATAAAAACTCAGATTTAGGCTGGGCATGGTGGTGCACATCTGTAATCCCAGCACTTGGGAGGTTGAGGCAGGAGGATCTTTGTGAGTTGGAGACCAGCCTGGGCTACATAATGAGTTCAAGTCCAGCCTGAATTACATAGTGAGACCCTGTCTCAAAAACCAAACCAAACCAAACCAAACCTCAGATTTATATAAAATTAACTGTTTCATTACCACCACACCTGGTTCTTTCTTTTCTCTCTCTTTCCCCACTCTTCTCTCTTTCTTTCTCTGTGTCCCCCGACTCACCACTTCTTCTGGTACTGGACATCAAAACTAGGGACACTCTACCACTGAGTGGTAGAGATAGGATCTTGCCAAATCACTAAGTTGCCCAGGCTGGGCTCAAACTCATAACCTTCCTGCCTCAGCCCCCTGAGTAGCTGGGATTACAGATCTGTACTACCACCTTCTTTGCCTTTCCACTTAACCTGAGGGCAGTTACTGTTGGATTTAGCTGTTAGGGGACTCTTGGGGGAGACGTTCCCAACGGCTCCCTGGGTGGGTTGTTCCCTTACTGCTGTTTCAGTTAGAAAGATTCAAGAATCTTGGTGGCCACCAGCTACCGAGCACCCCATTTTTTGAATGTGACTGGTTCCCCTTTGCTAGATAGTTCTGTCTCCCATCTCAGCAATGTCCAACTGCAGCCGGGTCCAAGGACAGGGAGGGGAGGGCATTCCTGGCCACCTTTGGGGACGCATGGGCAGTGGCAACTGCCTCCCACACACTACAGCTCTCAGATGCAGTGTGGTCAGCATGGTGAGGCTTAGCATCCATCTCAGACCACAGGGCGTGTCCATGTGAGCACTGAGATCAAAAGGACTGGGGCGGGAGCATGGATCAGCCACCCTGCCAGTGGAGGCATCTGAAAGACCAGGGTGATGGATGCAGAAGTGGGCAGCAGTGGCTTTGCCTCAGACCAGGGATGTTTACAACATAGGGCCTCTACATTAGGCCCAAACAGGTAGTGGGGCAGTGGGCAGCTGGGAAGGGCAGGGCGACAGTACAAAACCACTCACCTCCTCTTCCTCGAAGCCCGTGAGGTCCCAGCGGTAATTGAGCCGCATCTGTTTCCGCTTCCAGTGCTCCATGAAGGTGGCAGCTGTGGGTGGGAGGAGAACCAGTCCTCAGGAGCAGCTGGATGTTATCACAGCATTCTTTCTTTTGGCACCACCAGGTGAAGGAGGGCCAGGACCGCCACATGCATCAACCACTCAGCCATCTATAAGACCCCACTAAGCAGGGACCACTGTTCTCCCGTTTCACAGATGAAGGAATAGAGGCAGGGGCTATCAAACCTTGGCCACATCAGCAAGGGGTGGGGCAGGCAGGTCTTGGGGCCTTGATCATTGCATGCCATTGCTTTTAGGGACCCCAGGTCACAGTAGAGAACTTGAGGTCAGAAGGTCAAGGTTGGGCTGGGGCCTTGAGTCCCACTGAAGCTTTGAGTCCACAAAGGGTCTGACTGCAGCTGTGACTTGCTGCGTTGTGTTTCCAATAGACAAAATAGCTCAATGCCACCTCCTGCACCTTCTGGCTTAAATGCAAAGCATCCCCCAAAGACTCATGTATCAAGGGCTTGATCCCTAATGCAGCCTACTCAGAGGAGCAGCCTGGACAGGTCCCAGACTCTGGGGCACTAACCTCTCAGTGGGTTCATTTCTTGATGAGTTCACAGCTGCGTGGGCTGTTAGGGCTGGGGCCCAGCTGGAGGAAGGAGATTACTGGGGTGTGACTTTAAAGGGTCTATCCTGTCCCTGCCTCAACCTCTCTAGCACTTTCCTTCTCTGATTCCTGCCTGCTATGAGCAGAACAGCTTCCTCCACCACACCCTTCTACCAAGATGTTCTGCCGTGGAGCCAAGACCATGCACTAAACCCTCTGAAACCATGAACCAAAATAAACCTTTCCTCCTTAAAGTTGTGTATGTCAGGTGTTTTGTCCCAGCAATGACAAGCTGACTATTATATCCAGGAAGCCACAGCTCAATCCCCTCAGAGTCAGAAAGAAGCCAGCATCTCATGGCACCTGCAATGGCTTGGACATGGTTGGAGCATCTTCCAAGCCTTTGCATGTTGAAATGTAATCCCTGTTGTGAGGAATTAGAAGGGTGGAAATTTATTCAAACTATGGTGCTTACAGGGAGGTCTCTGAGAGAGGATTAGGACTAGGTGAGGTCATCAGGGTGGATGGAGCTTCATGAGTAGCTCTTGATGGCTTTATGAGACAGCACAGGACTCTGCCGGCAAAAAGGTGGCACTGGATGCTGCCTTTCAACCTCAGACTTCCAGAACCTTGAGCCAAAATGAAGCTCTTTGTTTTATAAAGTGATCCTGCCTCAGGTATTTCATCATACCATGGGATATAAACTAATACAGTCCCCCACAACTGCATCTGTCCTGCTCCTGGAGTCTCTGTCACCTTCCATTATGACCCCTGTCCTATTTCCCCATTTTACAGAGAAGAAAACTGAGGCTCAGAGGGATCAAGTGGCTTCTCTGGTAAGCAATGGTACCAGGATAGAAATAAAGTGATATGTGCAACTGAACTGTCAGTATGAACCCACAAACAGGGTCCTCAACCAGAGGCTGTGTGTTCCAGGGAACAGCACGCTTTGGAATTGTCAGGGAGCGGCTCTGACCCTCCGGGCTCAGCTCCCAGAGCTTCAGTCTGGGTGGACACAGCCCCTTCGCCATGCTCCTGCCCTTTTTCACAGTAAGGTGAGTATAGCGACTGCAAAGGGGGTCATTTAGTCCTGGGAACTGGCCACACAGACAGGAGGAGAGCTGAGAAGCCAAGCAGGTGATGGTGAGACCGCCCAGGGGCCGGCGTCGGGAAGCTGGTGCCAGGGTCTGGGTGGCGACAGTGAGTGAGATTTCCAGAGCCAGTATCTGGAGCTGCCCCAAAGTATCTGGAATCATGGTGGGGGCTTCCTGGTGGGAGTCAGAGGCAGGAAGACAGTCTCTGAGAGGGATGCTCCAGGAAGGCAGGGAGGTGGGGAGAGGCACCTTGAGCTCCCAGCAGGGCACTGGGGCTGAAACCACAGGAAGTGGGAGCATAGGTGTACGGTTTAGCTCTACGCAGGCTCCAAAGTCTCATGTGTTTGGAAGGTGGCTGGATCACCAGCGCTCTATTTTCACCAGCAGATTCACCCACAGATGAGTCCGGAGCTGAATGTGCTGTGAGCAGGTGGGGCCCGGTGGGAAGTGGTCCCTGGGGGTGGCGGTGTGTGACTGGAAGGTGTACTCTTTTCCCTGCTCCTCCCTTCTCCCTCTGCTTCTGGCTGCCGTGATTGAGCATCTTTCCTCCACCCTGCCCGTCCACCCTGCTGCTCCTGCCTGGGACTGAAGCTGTAAGCCACAGGAAATCTCTCCTCCTCTAAGCTGTGGGTGTTGTGTATTTTGTCCCAACGATAAGAAAGTAGCCAACACCACAGGAAGCCTGGAAGTGTGGTCCCCACGGTGCAGAGCAGGGCAGGGGTGGGAAGGGACGGATATTATTCAAAAACTGGCCCCAATGCGGTCTAGGCAAAAATTATTTTAGATGACAATGTAAAAGCACAGGTGACAAAATCCCAGAAAAATAGAGTTGCATTAACCTAAAAAGCTTCTGCACAGAAAAAAAAACCAAAAACCCAAACAATGAACAGAGTAAAGAGACAAACTACCAAATGGGAGAAAATCGTTGCACACTGCTCATCTGACAAGCGGACATATCCAAAAAATGAATTCAAATGACTCCACAGAAAAATATCTGATTGAAAGAATGAGCAAATGATCTGAAAAGACATGGCTCAAAGGAAAACACAGACAAAAAGTGTCCAGCAATCATCAGGGAACGGCGAGCCAAAAGCACAATGAGACCTCACCTCATTCCAGTGAGAAGGGCGACTTTCAAAACGACGATGACGAATATAGGTGAGGAGGAGGGGAAAGGAGACGGTGACACACTTTTGGTGGCCATGGACATTAGCAGAGCCACTGGGGAAAACAGTACAGAGGTTCCTCAACAAACTAAAGGGATCTACTGTATGAACTAGCAATCCCAGGTCTGGATATCTATCCAAAAGGAGAGAAATTGGTATGTCAAAGACACATCTGCACCACACTCTCTGCCGCACTGTTCACCAACATGTAGAATCAACCAAGGTGTCAATCAATGGACAAGTGGACAGAGAAAATGTGGTACACACACGTTGGAACACTATCCATGCAGAAAAAAAGCATGAAACGTTATTTTTAGCAACACAGATGGGCCCAGACATCATGTGGGATAAAATAAGTCAAGCATCATGTGATCATCTTATATATGGAAGCTAAAAGAGCTGAATTCACAGAAGCAAAGAGCAGGGTAGTGGCCACCAGAGGCTGGAGAGGGTAGAGGAGGAGGCGTGTGGACATACAGTTAATGTAACAAATCCCAGTGTTCCAGGGCACGGAAGGGTGATTATTGTCAACAATACGGTGCGGTCTAATTCAAAATCACTAGAAGAGGGCCGGGGATGTAGCTCAGCGGCATACACATACCAGGGATGTGCTTGCCTGGCAAGCCTGAGGTTATGAGTTCGATTCCTGGTACCAAAAAAAAAAAAGTATTTAAACCAAGCGTGGTGGTGCACGCCTGTAATCCCAGCACTTGGGAGGCTGAGGCAGGAGGATTGTTGCAAGTTCAAGACCAGCCTGGGCTACAAAGTGAGCTCAAGGCCAGCCTGAACTGCACAGTGAGACCCTGTCTCAAAAAGACAAAAAAAAAAAAAAAAAAAAAAAAAAAAAAAAAAAAAAAAAGAGAGGACCTGGAATATTCTCATCACAAGAAATGCTAAGTGGTTGTTTTTTGTTTGTTTGTTTGTTTGTTTGGTTTGTCTTTTTGAGACAGAGTCTCACCATGAACTCACTTTGTAGCCCAGGCTGGCCTCGAACTCCCAACGATCCACCTGCCTCAGCCTCCCGAGTGCTAGGATTACAGGTGTGCGCCACGCCAAGCATTTGAGATGATGGATAAACTTAAATATCCTGAGTTGATGGCTATGGCATATAAATGTAGCCGGACATCCCACAGACACCATAAAGACAGACACAGAAATCCTGCTGGGAGCCTGGCCCTGAGCAGGTGGCTGGTGATGATCACACGCAGGAGGAATGATTTCCATTCAGAGATATGAACCTGGACACCGAAGCTGTGCAGGCTACATGCCATGCCCAAGTGGGACTGCAACCTAATCCCATTTGAGTCCAGGGTCCACACTTAACCTGTCCTGGAAAGACGCTCTGTACAGATGCATTTTCCTTAAGGGAATCACAATCACAGTCATAACTGTAAGTCGGATAGTGCAAAGCGTGTCGCTTTATGGATGAGGAACACAGGAATGGAGAGGTTAAGTGTCTTGCACAGGGTCACGGAGAGAGGCAGCAGGTACTGAATCCAGAGCACGCACACAGCTTACTGTCTTAGCATGATGACAAGGGCCTCCTCTGACAGGACCGGGACCAGAATGCAACCTGGCAGCCAGGCTGTGGAAATGATCCACCGGCATAATTTGTTTGGCTCAGCCACATTTACAAAAACAGACACGTGCCCCTGTCCCAGGCTGACACATTGTATCTGACTGTCACTTTCCTAATACACTGGCTATGCACTGCGTATTTGTGTGGCCCCAAAACTTATTCATAAAGTGAGGGGCTAGGCTCAGCCCTAAAGTGATGGTGTTAGGAGACGGCCTGTGGGAGGTGACCAGGTCCTGAGGATGGGACCCTTGTAAATGCCCTTGTAAAAGGTCCTTCTGCCCTATGAGGACACGGTGAGAGGTGCCATCTGTGCCTTAGGAGACGAGCCCTTACTACGCTCTGACCCCTGAGCAGTGGGTGTGTGGGGCTGCAGTGCAGTCTGCGGGTCTGCTCAGGACAGCCAGGGGCCAGCCTCACTAACTACTGCTCTCTGCACAGGGAAGGGGCTGCTCAGTGCAGACCCCCTTTTGGCAGCTGGAGGGTGGAGTGGGGTCTTCTGGGAGTAGCAGGGGCAGGACTCACTCCACACTGAGCTTGCAGTGTACACGGTGGGCAGAGGCCTCCAGCCCTTTGCTTCTGGACAGAGACACCCGACACC